AAAAAAATAAAAGTGTTAGCCACTTTGTTCAGTACAGAATATAAAGTGACTGCAAGTTTGTTTTTATAGTTATTATTCCAGTCGTGTCGGTTTTGAGCTGTTCAGCTTTGAGTGGTGAATGTGACAAAAGTTTTGTTCATGTTTTATTTATCAGCCTCTGGTTTTATTAACAAAGCATTTCTTTTACTTTCTTAACACTGTCAGACGGTGTTTGACGGTGATTTTGTAATTGTGTGCTCTCATGGCACACCTGAACGCACTCCAGCAGAAGTCTGTCCAAAAAGAGGAGAAGGGCTGTGAAAGTTTGTCCTTCTTTGGGAGCGATGCCACGCTCTGTCCTGTCGAGTTTTGCCAATTAAAGCGGGTTCCCACTGTTCCGGGCAGCGGGCACGTGGTTCTTGGCACCGCGGCTCCTGCCAGGGCGCGCCGTGACTTCTGACCCCACACAGATGGGCTCGCAGGCAGGCCTGCGCGCCTGGAGCCCGGCCCGGCCCGAATGGACACGGAGGTCGCCGCTCTGGCCTGAAGGGTCCTGAGGGTGGCCGCCGCTGACAGGGCCCAAATGCTCGGCGCCGGGACAAGAGCGAGTGTGTGTTGGGGTGGGGGGTGCATTCTGGGGAGCCCCTGGCCGGAGCGCCGCCTCACAGCGGGAAGAGATACTGTCTTGATCACTGAATATTCATGGCCGCCTGGTCGCCGTGACAGGGGGCAGCGTGGAAGAGGATGTCAGCGCGAGAGTGAGAGAAACACAGAGAGGGAGGAAATCAAACGCCAGTTCACACACAATATAAACAGAGCCGCGCCGAGGAGACAGACAGCATCTGTGATGATTGTGGGAAATGCTGCAACTCGCTGTAACACCCGGCAGTAGTTGCAGCATATGGCCGAGTGCGTCTCGAGAAAAACTTTATGCTGCTCGCGTGGTCGGTTTAAATCCATAATCAGGCTCCAAGATCAGCTGGCTTTGGCGAGTAAATAAATCTGACTGTAATAAACATGTAAGTCAATTATAACAAGCCAGTATTTGTAAACTAGCATTTACATTAACAGTTACATTAACTAGTGTAAATCATCAAATTAATGATTGACACTTGAAGCTTAACATTAGTGTGCTGTGCATGAAAAATTTGATGTGGAAACGTTTTTTTCTCATAAACTGCTAGTAATTTTCTCAAATAATTACAGAGAAACTGCAAGTAACACATTGAATTAAACATAAGATTTTGAAGTAGAAAAACTTTTTTTTTTGTTTTTTGTAAAATGTACTTCAGTAATCTTTGTTTTATTTACAACTTCAAATGTTTTTTACAATCTTTTATTATTAACTAGCTACATGTTGCACAAAAGAACCACTGTGAATCATTTAAAGGGATACTCCACGTAAAAATTTAAATTCACTCATTCTCATGTCGTCCTAGATAATAAATAATGTGTGACTATTTCTTCATATGAACAAATATGGAGATGTTAAGACAAATAATCCATCTATGGGAGTCCATATAATGCAAGTGGATGGGACCCTCAAAGATGATGCTTCAAAAACCACGCAAAGTAAACATGGTGTTAATTCATGCGACCCCAAAGTTGATAAGCAGCACAGCATGGCCTCGCCCCCTTTGCTGCCTTTTCCCAAGGGCAGGGTTTATCTGGGTTTGTTAAGTCACGAGCCCGGGAAGTAACTTCCGTTTTTGTAGGCATTAAACTGCCAGAATTTTAAAAGATAATATCTCCGTTTGCATTGAACTTTCAGCTTTGTAACCTTGCAGATATTGTTTATGCTCAAACAGCAACATTACACACTAACTAATGTTAAAAAAGTGAATTTGCAATGAACCACCCCTTTAAAGCAAAACTATAGGTGTGTATGAGTAAAATACCAATATTTAAAAAAAAAAATTAAACTATAAACAATGGCTTCTGAGTTCATGGCAACACATTTAAAATATTAGTTGTATTTATTTATTTTTAATTTTTTTGCTCAAAACATTTATTCATCAGCTGGGATCTTATGGATTACTGTCGGGTTCGTTCGCATGGTTTTTGAAGCATTATCTTTGAGGATCCCATCCACTTGCATTATTTGGACTCACATAGATGGATTACTTTTAAATTACTTACTAAATTAGTTTATCTGAAGAAAGAATGTCATAAACATCTAAACAATCAAATACTGAAATGTGCTGCAAATACTCACAATGCAACCAAATACAGAAAACGCTGCAAATACTCACAATGCAACCAAATACAGAAAACGCTGCAAATACTGTCAATGCAACCAAATACAGAAAACGCTGTAAATACTCTCAACACAACCAAATACAGAAAATGCTGCAAATACTCACAACGCAACCATATACAGAAAACTCTCAACGCAACCAAATACAGAAAACTCTGAACGCAACTAAATACAGAAAACTCTGCAAATACTCTCAACGCAACCAAATACAGAAAACGCTGCAAATACTCACAATGCAACCATATACAGAAAACACTGCAAATACTCGGAATGCAACCATATACAGAAAACACTGCAAATACTCAGAATGCAACCAAATACAGAAAATGCTGCAAATACTCACAACGCAACCATATACAGAAAACTCTCAACGCAACCAAATACAGAAAACGCTGCAAATACTCACAACGAAGCCAAATACAGAAAATGCTGCAAATACTCACAACGCAACCAAATACAGAAAACTCTCAACGCAACCAAATACAGAAAACGCTGCAAATACTCACAACGCAGCCAAATACAGAAAATGCTGCAAATACTCACAACGCAACCAAATACCAAATACACAGAACGCAACCGAATACAGAAAACGCTACAAATACTCTCAACGCAACCAAATACAGAAAACGCTGCAAATACTCTCAACGCAACCAAATACAGAAAACGCTGTAAATACTCACAACGCAACCATATACAGAAAACTCTCAACGCAACCAAATACAGAAAACTCTGCAAATACTGTCAATGCAACCAAATACAGAAAACGCAGCAAATACTGTCAACACAACCAAATACAGAAACGCTGCAAATACTCTCAACGCAACCAAATCACAAACACGCAGCAAATACTGTCAACACAACCAAACACAGAAACGCTGCAAATACGTGATGTTTTATTAACAAGTTTCGGGAGGAGCGCGCACAGATAATTAACACGGCCAGTTCATCATCAGTAATTACACCATCTATCCAATCAGCTCAAGAGAGAACCTCTATAAATAATCAAAGCAGCCTTACCTCCATTATCTCCCGTCCTTAGCATCCTTAGCACCATGTCAGACATCGAGCTTTTCCCGGACGATAATGAATTCGACACCACGGGTCCTCCGGCGTCTTCAGTCGCCGTCCAGCACACCAGCGCTCCGCAGGACACCATAAGCGAGCCCGCGGCTGCAACTCGGGGCCGCCGGCCCTCCCGCGTCGCCATCGCGCATACCTCCAGGCACCGAGGCACGCCATCACCTGTGCCTTCAAGGCGTCAGCCACCTTCTCCAGCGTCCTCCTACGCCTCAGCCCTCTCCCCCGCCCCAGCTGCGGAGAAATGGACCGTGTCAGAACTACGCCAGGCGCTCGTCAGCTCCGGCGTCAGCGTCCCACGACGATCAGCCAAGGCAGATCTCCTCGCCCTCTACACTTCCCTCCAAACAGGGGCGCCTCCAAGCTTCACTCCTCCATCCAAGGCCGCGGACAAAGCGAGCCAGGGCCGTAGTGTTCCATACTCACGGCCCG